GGACGTGGACGCCTTCTTCCGCACAGGTACGGACCCGCGCGGCCGGCCGGCCCGTCGCTTTGTCCGCGCACACCGACACCCACACGGGCACGGCGCGGGGGGGCGCGCACACCCATACAGACCCCCCTACACTGCCTCCTACAGCCCCCCACATACCCCCCATACACGCACGCTCCCATACACCCCCCCACACACCCACCTCACACACCCGCATGCCACCCCCCCCCGGTCCCATGCATGCACCCCCCATACACCACCCCCCCCCTTCCCCCCAGGTCCTGGGGGCCAGGCGGGGCTGTCTGCTGGGGGTCTTGTGGGAGCTGCACACACGCGCCCCGGCGGGTGCCTCCCCCGCTCGGGCCACTTCCCCGCTCGGGTCTGGTGATGGAGCCAGAGGCTCAGCTGAGCGGAGCTGCGGCTGCCTGGGCTTTAGGGTGAAGCGCCGCGGGGGGCAAGGGGCTGAACAGGGGTCCCTTCCCCCCGCACCCTGCCTGCCCGCCCCTCCCTTGCGATCCCCCTGCAAGCCTTTGCCAAGCTGGGGCCGGCAGCAAGGCCAAGGGGGCTCAGGGGCCCCGGGGGAGCAGGCCGGCCTGGGGACGGTGGCAGTGCGGCTCCTTGGGGCGGTCAGGAGCCAGGCGTGTTGGGGAGCGCCGCGATGGCTCCGCTGTGCTCTGTGGATGGAGAGGGTGGTGGTAACGTCCAGGAACGGGACAGCACTTGTTAGGAGATCGCCTGGGCTGAATTTCCTAGGAAGCCTGGCCCTGCGACAGAGCCCTCCCAAACCCGGTGGGCTTATCCTCACGGGGCCCTTGGCTCTGAGACCCGCTTGTGTGCGGGATGAAAGGCTGGAGCTGAAGCAGGCAGGGTGAGGGGGGATTCCCTCTTGCTTCAGAGGTGGCATTTTTAAGGGAGCCTTGCCTGTGAGCGGGGTAGGGGTTTCATTCAACCTTGCGCAGGGTTCAGTGCTCGCATCAGAAGGGACTGAAAGCTCCCCGGGCTGGAGCTGCCACTTGCTGCCACAGTTGTTTGTCAGGGCTTTGCTTTTCAGCTGGTTCTTTCTTCCTCTTCCCCCTTCACCTGATCACGAGCGGTGCAGGGTGCTTCAGTCTCCAGTGACAGCAAAGCAATCCGGCCATCACCGCAACTTTAGGGAAGGTCCTGGCTGCAGATCTGCAATAGCAGTGTGGCTCCAAACTCTGGTAGACCGCCTCCCTCCACATTTATGGGAGATGTCTTTGATCTAGTGAATAATTATAATGAGGTCTGACTGTGTGTATCTTGTGATCTACTAAGCCAATGGCTGCTTGCCAGTTGATACCCTACCTGGTTACCGAACATGTGTAGAGAGCACTTGTGTAAAAAAAAAAAAAAGCAAAAAAAAAAGCATCCTTTTCTTTTAAAACCAGTTATTTTCATTTAGGAATCTCTTTCTCAAAGGCGTATACCGTTGTCTAATAGCTCTTAATTCCCCATGCAAATGAGGTATCGGAGTTGAGGTCAGAGGGGCTTCAACGACTTGACTAGCTTAGTCCGGTTTGTAAAATAAATGTATCTAACCATGTAAAGAGCATCACGGAAGTCTGCGATTAGACATTTTTCCAGTCTTCCTCCTCTATCAGAAATTCTGTCCCCAGGGAACCGTGCATATCATTTGGTTTGGTGTCCTAGGTGTTTAATTGAAAATAGTTTTGGAAAGTTTCTTAGCTTTCCCATTAACTCAAGGGAGGAGCTAGATGAATGATCCAGCTAGATTGAATGAATCAATGAATGATTGGATGAATAAGTGAAAGCTTTGATTTTGCTGTGTGTCTTCTGCAACACAAAATGCTGGCACCGATGGAAAAAAAAAATCATTGACCACTTCACGTGAAGAAGCACCGTTTGCTTGTCAGTAGTGATATCAGGCAGGCTTTATAATTAAAACAAATACCAGTGATAAACAGAGATCAAGACAGCTGGCAGCCAGCCTGAACTCAGTGAAATTGCTGAATTCTTATTGGAACAGTCTCTTTTTCTATGGATGCCTGCTCGTCCTCTTTTCTCCTCGCTTTGTGTGTGGATGTTGTGACTGCCTGGAGTGGTTGTTGATATCAGTCTTAATGGACGCCAGAGAAAACAGCTGATGTGGTATTTAAGGGAGAAAGTCTTGATAGAAAATTTGTAAACACACGGAGAACCTAACCATTCTCGTTGTCTCGGGCAGGAATCCATGAGAGCCCTGTCTGAGAGAGGACCGAGAGATCAGATCCTCGGCTGTGTTAGCTGGGTAGACCTCAGTCGGCTTTTTAGCACCTTCATTTTTCCCTCGACGTTTCCTTTCTTTTGGTCTCAACTTTTGTTTAGCGGTCTGTGCTATTTGTGTACAAATTTTGATTTAAAAAAAGGTGCATTCACAGTGTGTGAAAACGCAATAATACTTTTTATTGTTGTAATAATAATACTATATTATAATACCAGTTATATATTATAATACAATAATACTAGTATTATTATAGTATAATATTATTATATAATAGTATTATAATACTGCTTCCTACCCATGGGGATTTTTTACCATCTTTAATTTTCCCTGAGTCTGATGAAGGGCGTGTGGGCCTGAAAGGTTGCAGAAAAAGATAATTTTTTACGATTTCTTAGTTGACTTAATAAAAGGTATCACCTCTGAACCAAGAGCTCTAGATTTTTTCATGATGCTTTTTAAGCATTTATTGTCCCAATAGTGACTGTAAATCATCCATATGGGAAACCTGTTTCGGAAAGGAGTTGTTAACAGGTGGCTTTAAAAAGGACTGTCCCCAAAGTCACAGTGACCACAGGAATACAACGTAAACGCAGAAGGCAGTGTTCCCCAGTGAGGAAATCCAGCTCCTAGCATCCTTCTCCATCAAGAGATCTCAGTCAAAAACTTTTCTAAACAGAGAGGGTGCACCTTGCACCTTGCACCTTGCGGGCTGGTGGACTCCTTTCTTGGACTATCAGAAGAGCAGATGGCAGAGAGGAAGACTCTTCGTGGAGAGTCGTTCTACCATAGATCTGCGAGCTGTACGTGGAAAACAAAATCAAAGGGATTAACCCAAGGTAACCAAAGGTTGATGTGATTTTGAATTCTCACAGGTGTGAGCCAAGGATAGCCAAGAAATCGGTGGATTTATACCAGAATAATTCAGATCAGAATTCAGTTAAATATCCATAAAAAAATGCATGCTAGGGATTATTCTAATTTTAGTTACTGTAGGGTGTAAGAAGAATAATTCCATTTATTTCACCGGGATTACACTTGTATAACTGAGATCAAAATTCACAGACTGTAAGGCCAGTAGGGACCATTGAGTTCATCTGGTCTGACCTCAAAGGATAAAGCAGACTGCAGAGATCCTTGCAGTTAGTTCTGCCTCAAGCCCATGACTTCTGTTTTAAATGCACCCTTTAAATGCTCTCTGTCTTTATATGCGTTATTAAGCCTGGAGTATTTTCATTTCCATTTTGGTGCCACAGATTGGGAAAATAAAACCGTGCATAAATTCTTCAGGAAAAATGTCAATAGGTTATTAAGCATCGCTTGTGAAATATGCAGTGTTGTGTGGGTCTGAATCCAAATGACTTTATTGCTTGAAGAATGAACGCAGTTCAGGAAGTCATATTGTAAAGCATATGGCTGTGAATGAGAGAACTTGGGTATATAGGGATGTATAGAAAAAGCTTTGTGCCAATGTTTAAGGAATTTCTATATTACGCTTTGGAAGCTGGCGTGAAGACAACGAGGAAATCTTTTATCAAAACTTAAATATTTATATAGGTTAACTGATAAAGCAATTCAGCAATCCAATGAAGTTCATGGAAAGAGTCGTCGTTAATATGCAATGTATGCCGGTGGGTAGGTTTTCTTTTCTAAATTATGTTTTTGGCGTCTAAATTGAACATGGATTGTATCTGATACAAGGGTGTGGAATGCGTCCGTGATGTTTCCCGTGGGTGAATTTAAGATTGATATTGTTCTTTTTTGAGTACAACGAATTATTCCCTTTGCTTTTTTTCCTGCTTTCCTTCAGCATTGAGAGTTTCACTGTTGTTCATTTGAGCGCAAGTGACTGGCAGCTCTGTTACTAAATAACTTTAAAATGATTGGCAGTGGACAGGCTGTTTGATCAATAGATGTGCTTGAAATTATGTCTGCAGAGAAGTGCTTCTTGAGGCTGATGGAATAAAGTGTCTGCTAGTGGAGCAGATAAATTGATTCAATCTACTTGTCA